TATTTACCTATCTCACACCTGAACTTTCATAGTTAAACACATAGCACTCAAACCTTCAATATCACAACAAAAATGGCATTATAACAACTTTTTACAAGTCAAGTGCACCTTTTCGTGCATATGTGTAAAGCACCGAAATGCTATGTATCTAAACATGGAAGTTTAGTTGTGAGATATGTAAATCCATAGGCATTGTGTGCTTCCCTCAATATTTTATCCATTTATATCTGAAAGTGTTTTTTTTGTTTACAGAAAGGTATAACACTTCTCTTACTCAACTTAGATCTCGGAAATACAACATATATAAAAGTTAGCGTAAATGGGGCCTCTCATTCTGAAAAAACAAGGGAAGAGTACCACTTGAGTGCAAAAGATGGGAACTTGCACAGCCAAACCGTGTTACTAAATGGCAGAGTTTTGGATGTGAATTCCCATGGAAAAATACCAACTTTAAGACCAATAGAAGTTGATGGCTTGAAGCCGATTAAACTTGCTCCTATTTCCATTGTTTTTGTTCACTTGCCTTACATTCATGCACCAGCTTGTATTTGAACTTCTTCTCCTTATCTATTGTTCATCTCAAGGCTAATAAATGATGGACTGGCAAGTTGTCCATTCTTGTTATCATTGTGGTTGTAATGTTGAAGAATTGTGTGATTTATGTTTTATAATATCAATGGAAGAATGAGTCATGCATGAATTAATCAGAACATGAAATGTCTAACATGGCATGCTTCTTATATTCTATACTCCAGATCTTCATAATTCTATTATTATTAGATGGTTAATAAAGTCCAGCTTTAGTTAAATCCAAGGTTTTAGGAATTCCTTCATCCATGAATTGATCCTTTGGTTGGTTGAGTCCAGAAATAATGACTAAACCAGTGAATCGATTCTATATTTCTAGTTAAACATTGGATTCTCTTGGTCATGAGCTTCTTATTAATCATTTTGGATTATTTTACAAAAGACCAAAATTAATTAAAAAAAAACAATTTTTTTGAAAAAAAAAAAAAAAAAAAAAAAAAAAAAAAAAAAAAAAAAAAAATCCATTATTAATATTGGAAATTTAAATTAAACATTAAAGTTAAATTGCATATGCTACCCAAAGGGCTAACTTGACAATGTTAGTGCACTTATTTTGATTACACCAAGCAAAAGTATATAAGTTAATTTCAAGGGAGTAGATTGTTTAATCAATTAAAATGTTTTTCATTTTTATATTTAATTGTTTGAAGTGCATGTTATAAATACCCATAGTAAAAAAGGTTCTCTCTCTCCTTATCTTTCTTTCTCCACACACACACAATAATCAATAGAATATATAAAACTTAAAATAAATGCTTATTTTTACTCAAATGATGAAATTAATAAAATTTATTTTTTAGAATGTTATTTCTAATTTCAAACAATAAAATTAGGACTCGACTTGAAGTATGTAACAATCAAATCAAAACTCAATAAATCATTGAGAGCATTCAACATGCTGATAGTCAATCAAGACAATATATAATATCATGTATTGGATCCTAGATTAACAATGGTCTCGCACTAATAGTTGGCTTGTAAAGGGAGAAGAATAGAAATATAGATGAAATCATCTTAAGAAAAAACAGAAATAAGTACTTGTACAATTTCTTCTACTCTAAAGGTAGAGAGATAAAGAAGCTCTCTCAGCCTGGAGAATAGCCTGCCCTATATTTATAGATTTAGGTCGGCTCCCCTAGGGATGGATATATTGGCGGCAACACCAAAAAAAATACATCAAAATAATACATTGACACTCCTTAGGATAGCGATTAACTTGTTTTTTAGTTTGACACTAAAATTTAATCCTAAGAAAAAAAGTTTTGACAATGTCATTTTTCACTTTAGCGACTTCCTCGAAAACTTCTATTGCTTCTAAGCTGCTCTGCTTCTACACATTAAGCTACAAGATCTCCTCCTGCATATTCTTTACAACCTTCACATAGCATGCTCTAGATTGCATCAAAATTGCTCACACCATGATAATTTGATCACTTTTAGACAATCTATAGACATGTGATGAGATGAAATGACCACTTTGAATGTGTTTAATAAGGGGCAACCAAAGCTAGCAATGTAGATAGTTGGCACATCTACTACCACAAATTCTATCATAGGCGTGAATTGATTCTCTACTTCTCCCTAGGTTACTAGCAAAATAATTATTCCACATGTTTTTTTACGCTCTCTAAAAAATATAAAGGAAAGAAAATCTCAAAGTAGGGACAAGATGAGAATTTCCCAAATTCATTTTTTTACTAATGAATTTAAGCAAGATGTTCACTAAACATCTAGTGTCAAACAAAATACTACCATTCTGAATATTAGGGATCAACACTGTGACCATGATAGCATCATTGAATGGATTCCTCTTCACTGGCAAATTCTCGTCAATAAAAACTATAGGTGACTCACCATCCTAGAAAAATTTATAAAGCATACCTCTCTTGACTAAAGTTATTTGAGGTTAGATTAGTGAAAAGCCTTAGGCCTGTCTCCTCCAAGCTATCCCCACAATATGAATAAACTATGTTGAGACATGTTCAATTTAGGGTCCGTTTGGGGCAGCTTGTGTGTTTCAGGATAAGCTGCTTATCCTGAAATGCGGCCCGCGGGCTGGTCGTGGCCTAAGTTTAGTGTAAAAACTCAAACGCAGTTTCGGATAAGCTGGTGAAACGCGCTAACCAAATAATACGGCGACATTTTTAAAACACCGTTCGCACTTATAAGCTGCCCCAAACAGACCATTAATTTCCTTCATGAGTGTGTTCCCCTATGTGTAAGCTGGTGAAACGCGTGAACCAAACAGTACAGCGGCGTTTTCAACGTTTTGTAAATGCCGCCCGCACTTATAAACTGCCCCAAACAAACCCTCAATTTCCTCCATGGGTGCTTTCCCCTATGCCTTTATGTTCACTTCCCACACAATGAGATCATTCAGCTTCCTAACTTTGATTAGATCCTCAATCAAACTTATTAAGTGATGACACTCTTTATTATCATGCCCGTGATTTCTATGGTACATAAAGTACTTCTTTGGGTCATGAAGATGACCACCTACCTTCAGCGGTGTAAGTTTCTTAAGGATTTTTTTTTATGTTGAATGACCTCAATAATCTCAGTCGTAGAGGCAACTCATTTTACAATAGGATGAACTCAGTATCTCTCAAATTTCTCATGATTTTGTGCTTTCAAAGCGACTTCTATTCTCTTAATGAGTTTACAAAAATTTCTTCTCGGCTAAAAATTTGGCTCATTATTCTTCGCTCAACTTGACGATGAATTAGACTCCTCAATAGATACCAACAATTTAACTAATGTCCTCAGGCATTACAACATAATAGCATAGCATAAAAGACCATCAGCCAATGTAGCACGAGCAATAACAGGCTCCAAATCTCTCACTTCCAAATTCTCCAACTGAAATCTAATAACAAAACTTCTCAAAGTCTCTCCAGACTCTTGCCATATTCGCAACAAGCCTACGAACTCTTCAAAGACTTTTGGACACTAGCAAATTGCGCAAAAAATATTCTTGAGCTCCCTTTAAAAAGTTAACCCTTCATGGTAGATTATTGAACCACAAAAGAGCTTATTCCTTTAATAACATAAACAAGAACCGATATTTCAAAACATCATTGATTTTCAGTAAGCAAATGACTGACTGAAGAATGCAATATGATTAGCAAGAATATATCTTCTTTTGTAAAACCCTAAAAATAAAATTTTAGAATTCTCTGATGTTTCTGCCTCAAGAACCTCTTTAAAATATTTATTCTCCTATGATTGCATTTTTTTTTTCTATCTTATCTCCTTCTCTCCCTCCCATGACTGAAAGGACAAGAATCCATGTAATATAGATTGTAAGTTGTCAATTTTTTGCCATTATCGATGGAAAATTCCTCCTTACTCTCTCAATCAATATCTCTCCTCTTCGAACCCCTTAATTCAAAAGCATTATATGGCATATGAACTCTGGGTATCATCCTTGGCATAGGCTCCAATGCCTCCTGAATTATCAAAGTCATTTGTTCATTCAATTAATTCATTCACTACATTACAAGCGCTATCGTGCACATGCACTCTATATTGATTGAACCTTCTCATACATGAAGTTCTTCCTCACGCAAAGCTCCTCTTTTAATATGTGGGATGAAACATGTTCACCAAACCTAAAAGGACGGTTGGAAGATAACTTATTAGCGTTCTCACACTTCCTAAGTATTAGAGCTTATAAAAGAAGAATATAAATATTTCAATAATCTCTATAAGAAAGGAGATGTAAAAAGGGGGTCTCATATAATTTATTATATTCTAGAGATAGAGAGAGGACAAAATTCCCCCATCCCAATATATTAATTTAAGTATGCTTTACATTAATTGGAAACAAAAATAGAATTGAAGTCTGCTTCAAAGCATGGAACAAAACCGAATTTCAAGTTTAAGCAGATACAAATTCATATCTAGTACCAATTTGAAAAAAATCAGGTTCATTATAAGGATTAAAAGTTACATCTTCAATTAATGCCAGTACAAAATAGACCATGACTGAAGCCAGATAACAGGAGCCAAAGCACAACAGCTATACATATATATATATATATAGATCTGTGTGTGTGTGTGTGTTTGTGTGTGTGTGTGTAATGAAACATACCAATGTATTTCCATTCATCACATAACTATGTTAGGCAACAATAATCTCATAATCAAGTGTAACACGGTGCACAAAAAATGAGAACAGGCTAACAAGAAAAGAAAAATAAGTAAACAAATGTGCTCAAGAATCAAAATCATATAGAAAGATCCTTCTTATTGCAGCAAAACAAAACACAGCAATAATGGAAAAATTTTGGTCTGTTGTCTTCTATGCACAGAAAAAACGCCAGCATCTAGTCCACCGGAACTTCAACCTCCATTTTCATGCCAGATTTGCCTAGAATCTGAAAAGATTATGTCCTTCAAAAACAGTTTGAACATAACAACTATTTGCAGAAAAAGAACAACATGAAATGAAAAGAAAACTATCGACGTACTAGATAGGAGACTAAGCTCCCCGAATCCATTTGTATAACATGCGTAAATTAAAAGAAAAAAAACATTACCAAATCGTGCAAATTAAGCAAGTAAAAAGCAATATTAAATGGCCTAACTAAATACAAACAAACTAGATGGATGCCATTAATTTCTAGTTTCTGGAGGGCATATAGAATACCCAGTTAAAAGGGACTCCTTCCATAAGAGTAGGATCTTGCTTGTCTGCAGAAGGGTTCATCTACAAGCGTATCAAATTTTCTCATCCACAGTTGCTGATACCCCACATCTTGTGAAAATTGTTATGTTCAATATAGCCATTTCTTTCAATACGTTTTTAGGAATTTTTATTATGATATAATGAATCAATTTTATGAGTGAATAGGTTCCATGCCACAAATATACATTAGCTTGCCTAATCTTTGATTTAATTTTTTTGGAGCAATTTCATTAGATTATTGATTAATTTGAAGTTACTAACTATCACAATAATATCATCGGTATAGACTATTAATACAAATATTTCACTTATTTCTTATGTTTAGCATCATCTGGACAAAATTTTTAGAACCAAACCATTGGAAATTGCTTCAACCTATATATGTTAAGTTATATTTTTTTTATGTATTTGAGAGAGAAAATGATGGGACCTTTATTTATACTCACCAATCCAAGTCATCATAGAAAACATTTTTCACATAAAATTGCTGAGACTTCTTGTCCCCATTAAGTGCAAAAGATAAGAGAACTTAAAAATATTCATTTTAGAATTACATCAATGATTTCAAGATAATCAATAACATATAGTTGAGTAGAGCCTTTGGCAACTCATATAGTTTTAAATCTTTCCACTAAATCTTCATAATTATATTTTATAGTAAAAACCCATCTACATCCAACCCATTTCTTTTCTAATAACATAATTTCAATGCACATTATTAGAAGACTCAAAGGTTATTTTTAAGGATAAAATTAGTATGTAGACTAATAAAAAATGATTGGTGATTGTAAGAAAAAAAAATTATAAGATAAAAACAAATATAAAGGATGTTTAGTTAGAGTCCTTGTATCTTTATTTGCAAAGTCATTCTCTCAACAGATTCAATGATAAGGTTAGATTTTGTTGATTGAACTTGCAAGAATTGAGGCTTCCTTCTTCTTGAGTAAACCTATAATAACAAAGTAGTTCGAATATAAAGCTTATTTTCAAGAGTGGTTGCTAATTTGGAAATGGAGTTGTTTGCCGAGATAAGGGGTAATGAAGAGTAATTTAAGAGACCAATTAATTGCGCGTGATATTTCTCCTTGGGTAAGTCGTGATCATTATTTAAAGTCATATCAACGGATACATATACTTCTCAACTCAAATGATGACAGCATTTGTAGCCTTCAAATATAAAAGAATAGCTAATGTAAACACATTTAATTGCTCGAGAATTAAATTTTCTCTATTTTGAAAATATAAATGAACAAAATAATAATTATAAATATTTTGGGAAAAAATTGTTTGAGACATTAAAAAAAAAAACTAATTTTAAATTGGATATAGGTCTCTTGAACCAAGGAACTCATATGCAAACGGTTTATAATGTGGGAGACTGCTAAACAAGCCTCTACTTAATATTACTTTGTGATAACTTTCTGAAAAAAAAAGGGTTCTTCTGACAACAAGTAGATAGTCTTTCGTTCAACTATTCCATTCTTTTAATTTTAACATAAAAATTATTCTGCTCATAATAAAAAATATGAGAATATGATTCTTATATCACTTCTAGCTTTTAGTTAAAAAATCAACAGCAAACGTCATCAATAAAAAACAAAAAAACACCAAGCCCTAGAGATGTTAAGTGTAGAGAATGATCTCCACATGGCACCATGAATAGGAGACAAAATAATATGAACTCTTGTGACATTCAATAAAAGAGAGGTTTGTGTTTTGCAAGTTCAAAAAGATCATCATCAAATTCCTTGATGTTGAATTATTTGAATAGTTATAAAGAAAATATGATATGGAGAAAAATAAATCATAGGTGACCAAAGAATTGAAGCAAGATTATTTTCTATTTAGATTTAAAGGTTCTAAATGAAGACCTAATAATGAGGTTGCATGATGTTTTCTTGATTATTGATTTCCTTATGATGGTCATCCCTTTAGCAAAAGCCTAATTGCCCTTGTGCACCATACTTGAAAGATAATATGAAGGATAAAACGTGACACTTAGATTCTTAATTAGCTTTTGAGTGGATAGCAAATTGATAAATAATATAGATAAATAGAGAGTTAGAGGGATATTGTGATAAAAATAGCTTCTCAACCGAATTGATAAATAGGTTAGATATTTGGAGAGTAAAGGGATTTGATTATAGAAAAGACGTCTTAACCAATGGTCAAAGACCTATCAGACACTTTTTTTTTTTTTTTTTGCTTCAACATGAGATAAATGAAATAAATATATGAGAAAACTTGATCATATAATATGTATTTTCTGAATCAAGAATCAAGAAGCTAAAAATATGCATCTCTAAGACTAAAGAAATGAGAAGAGACGATAATATTTGTGAATAAGAGTACAAGTTGTTGTTATAGACATTTTTAAGTAATCCTAACAAGTTTTTTTTTGCCTCCATATGCCTCATTAATGGCCCAAAAACCAATCACGACCAATTTAGATAGTTCTTTCATTCAAATAATATTTTGAATGAATATTTTGCAACTCTCCTGTTGGATTTAGATTACATCCCTCAATTAAAAGAGAACATGAGAACAAGGATATGTAAATATTATTATTAATATCCATAGAGAAAAATTATGGTTTTGCTGATAGAAAATAAAATTTAAAGAAAATGTGATAATATAGTGGCAAAGGCTACAATAATGAGACCAATTTGCGGAAATGCAATGAGGAAACCTGTAATAATGGAAAATGTACACAAGAATGCACCAAAGAGGGTTACAATTATAGGAAAAGAAAGGTAAAAAGAGCAAAACCATGAAAATCACAGCGTTATAAATACACTATGGTAATGTAAGGAGAGAAGTTTTTAGTAATTATGGACCTAAGAATTATTAAATGATTGCCTATCAATACCCTGTGATCATGTTAGGAGAGAATTTTTTTTTAAGATTTAGTATCAGGGTGTTTAAATAGTTTAGGGTGGATTCCCTGGTCTAGGAGAAGTGAGGTGGAGAAAAAACAAGTCCATGACATTGTCAAGTGGTTGCCTAGACCCCTGGCCTTTCTCTTGTCGCTTGTCAGTGGAGTTCAACAGTTTTCCAATGGCTGGAACTGGTCCTTTTGGCCCAGCGAAATTCTGGGAGCCACAAAACTAGCAAATTCAGTTGAACAGTTTTCCAATGACTGTAACTGGTCTCTTGTTCAGGTTTCAGAGAAACGGAGTGCTCAGTTTCGTGATGGACAAGAGAATAACAGTAGATGCCTGCAGTATAAAAGCTCAGCGTAGGCGTTTCCTTGGAAAATAAAAGCCTCCATGAATATATTTAACCTTAACAATTAACTTTCTTTTTTGTATTTGTGTAATTGTTATTATCAGAGATTATTGTTGGTGTATTCCAAACACAGCTGAGCTCCATCGTCGGGATTGTACACTTGGGTTGTTGCACTGAATTCATTTTAATTCTAACCAAATACCAAGAAAGGTAATCTCCTGCATTTATCTTTCACGCATCAACCAAACAACTTTAAGTTTTTCAAATTCATTATATTTATTTCACATGATATTCCTTTTACTTTCTATTACTTTAGTCAGCAAACAAAACGGCCTCTAAGTCAACAATATTATATAGATCTAAGAGGTCGAGAATTAAAAAGTGGATCATTACCAAGTTAAGCATGAAGAAAAAAAGAGAATGTCAAAATGGATGTGGGGTAAAATTAAGAAACAAAAATTTAGAGATGGTCCTAATAAAGAAACAATTAGAGTGTCATCTTGTAAAGATAAAGTTGAAAATAGACTTAACTAGTTTAAACATGAACAATAAAAAGTGGATAATTTCCCCATTTGATAGTTAATTAAGTTCATATAAAAGAATTAAAAAATTTAGTCAAAGGGCAATTTAGTCTTTTATTATTATTATTATTATTATTATTATTATTATTATTATTATTATTATTATTATTATTATTATTATTATTATTATTATTATTATTATTATTATTATTATTATTGGGTATAAAAGGCTTGTTATGTCTAGGGTTAGGGGGATGCATAAGATTGAGTTGTGAGTCTTAGGTCTAGGGTTTGGGAGAGATATCCTAACTCTCGAATTATAGGGATTGGGAGAGATTGTCTACCTCTCAAATTGTAGGTGATTATCTTTTGTATTTGTGTGAGTCGTTTGGATTATTACAATAAGAATTTCTACTTGTCCTAATTTCTATGAAAATCTGTGTCGATTTCTTCGTCAAGTCATATCAAATTGATATCAGAGCAAGATTACTAGGGAAACGGTGCTCGAGATTGTCATAAAGTAGGGCAAGGATCGTTGCATGGGAAGAGCACAACATCCAGAAGATTTGGCAACTTCACCTCCAGATACAATCGCGATCAGGGACAACGACTAGGAAACGACGTAAAGAGATCCGAAACTCCGAGTTTTCTCTTCCTCCTAAGCGTCTACTTGATAGAGTCGCAAACAGAGCTTGTTGGGAAAGAGCGATTGAAGCTTTTCGCCTTCGTGACCGAACACTGCGATACAGGTGCGATCGATGCTTGTGGGGAAGGAGATGAGGGATCGGGGCTTACCGAATCGCGTACAACCGAATTGGGCGTGCAGGCGGCATTACAACGCGATTTGAGTGGTTGAGAAGATTGCGGCGTGCGGGCGACATCAAATCGTGAAATAGTCGCGGTGTGCAAACAGAATCGCGACGCAGAGACCCTAAGAATCGATACAGTTGCGATTAAAAGCAGCTGGGACTAAAGGGATTGCGGCATATAGAGCTATCGCCGATCGATCCTAAGGCCTTCTAGCGGGATCGCGGTGTTCGGACCTTCGTGACCGAATCTTGCAATTCTAGCGAGCCGGGAAGCATTGACAGGATCGGCTGACTTGTGATACATTCGCGATAAAAGCTATCTGGGAAGTCATCAACGAGAATTCAGCATTTAATGATTTCTCTTACCTGACCGAAATTTTTCCAAGCAAGAAAGGCAGCCAAGAAAGTAGATGATCTAGAGAAAAAGTTAGAGGAAGAGATAAGTCAAATCAAATCTGGGATGGAAGAAAGGTTCGTCAACATAGAGGATAGCTTCTCTTCTATTGATAATCGACTGAAGGATCGATTCGAGAGCATGGGAGAAATTCGAGAGATGATAAAAAAGCTTATTGAGATGCAATATCTCAATCCAAGACCTCATCAGCGGTTCAATTTGCAAATCCCAAGGTTGACTTGAGAACCAGTGGTAAGATTGAACATGAGGAGGAAAACATTCACCATCACGAACCCCCCCTCAGGACACCGATTATGGATGAATTAGAGATTTCTAGTGGAGGCGGTTGGGCCAAAACATGGAGAAAAGATTATGCCAGAGGTATGAAGGAGTACGAAGAAGAAGGGAGAGAAGCAGGGAGGGGATATGGCTACGATTGAAGGAAGGACTTTTACCCTCAATACATGGGGGGAAACAATGGAGGAAGAAGAAGTTGGGGTGGAGATGTTAGAGCTAGAAAGTTAAAGATGATGATCTTCACACCCAGGGAGGGGGGGGGGGGGGGTGTGGAACTCATGGCGACAAGACTGTGTTTGGAGGGGAAAGCCTTAGGCTGATTTCAGTAGAGGGAGGTTGGATACCCGATTCGTTCGTGGGATGAATTTAATTATTGTTTGTTGGAACGTTTCTGAGCCATTAGAAAAGAAAGGAAACGAGACCTGCATGAGCAATTCTATGTCTTTATACAGGAGGGGTCGGTCATGGAAAATAAAGAGAGATTTGAATTATTGTCGGGACGACTGTGAGGGATTTCTGAAGTAGGACTGGAGGGGAATTTCATCAAGAGCTTAAAGCTCGACATACGGGTAGCACTCTGATCACGAAGACTGCAGGGATTGAGGGAGCTAATGAAGATAGCCAAGATGGTGGAAGACAAAAACTAGATAAAGAAAGCTAATATGAGCAACACATATGGAGCGTCATCGTTATACGGTACTGCTACAACCATGAAGATGCCAAACTTTCAGAGAATGGAAGTCCAGAGTGAGGCTGCATGAGACATGAATAATGGACCACGACCGGGAGCAACACTCAAATGTCTTACAGAGACAGATTCGGGAGAAACGAATCAAGGGGTTATGTTTTTAGTGAGATCAGAATTTTACCCCAGGACACCATTGCAAGAATCGAAGATTACAAGTTCTCATGGTGCAGGACGAGGAAGCAGAGAATGAAGAAATAGAGCTAGTCATGGGGGAGGAGAAGCACTCATTTTTTCCCACCACGGGGACAATTTCTCTTTGGGGGTTGGGGGTTTAGAAATAGAGCTGCATGAGGCACTCATTATTTTTATTAGGGATCCTAAGGGCAATTTAGTCTTTTATTATTATTGTTGTTGAGTATAAATAGTCTTATTTTGTATTAGGTTAGGGAAATGCAAGAGATTGAGTTGTGAGTCTTAGGTTTAGGTTTTGGGAGTGATTTCCTACGCTTGAATTGTAGGAATTGGGAGAGATCGTCAACCTCTTATATTTGTATCCTCATTGAATTGTTTGAATTATTGAAATAAGAAATCTGTTTCGTCTTAAATTCTGTGGAGAATTGTGTTTATTTTTCCTTCGAATTGTATCATAGACTTCCAAGAACAATAATCAATAAGATTTCATTCTTGAATACAATTTTGACTATGAATACAACATTTTATGCTAACATAGTGTTATAATATATAATATCGGAAAACATTGTAGACAAGTATTTTAACAATATTGTTGCATAAGATATTTGCATTCCATTTAAAGAAGAACAAAAAATAAATAAAACATGCATTAAACAAGTAAAGGTGGAAGTTTTAATTCATCAGGTATTGCCATAGGCGGCATAATTAAATGAAAATATAACACTAAATAGGCCACAATAGAGAAAAAGGATCCATGTAGCCGACCCCACTTAGTAGGACAAAGGCTTGTTGTTGTTATCGTAGGTATTACCATAGGATCAAAATGTATGAGCACAAGTTTTGTTGAGCACATTCTCTTTTAGATTCTCAACAATAGTAATGGGAATATGGTGCAAAACATACAGCTAAAACATACCACCTAATTGCATGGACATTAATGTATGGTAGTAATAACATCAAGCATTAAATTTTCTTGCAAGATTTATATTAAATTTATGTTCATTCTAAAGGAAATGTGTACAAAGGGTTTATTTATCACAACCTATACTAGCTTATGGTCCATTTAAACGCGACTAATTTATGTTAATGAGAATATTTTGTAGCATGATAGACAATCTCCTGGTCAACTGAGTATGCCAAACTTGGTACCTTGATGAAATCATCCAGCACAAGTGAAGCGTCCCTTGTATAACCTGATTCTTCCAACAGATGGCTGAGCACTTGCTGTGAATCAAAATTGAAATAAATTTAGTTTCATTCTGAAATTTCTCATTCACAACGAGTATTAACAATATACAAGTGATAAAAATATGTTCAAATTTTATAAATACTTTATTGATATACATCTCAAAAGTGCTGAAATTACACTCAATGATTAATTCATACAAATGATAGAATTTTATTAGGAAAGAAAATGTATTACTGAACAAGATGTCCTGTAAACATATCTTCCAGCTAACACGTATTGCCGATCAAAATTTGCAATAATAGTTCATTATTAGTCTTTTAACAGAATTCTTAAGATAATAGGATCGTTTATTCCAGAAATGACACTTGCATGTTATTTCATTTAGCTTAACAAAAAAAAGTCGTAAATTAACATATTCTAAAGTCTGTGATGCAGACAAAACCTATGAGAAAAAAAAAATCAAAACCTTGGCCATAAAGTAAGGAAGAAGATTCAACACGGATACTTCAATTTATTACAAGTTTTTTGGCAAAAGATGAATCATTATCAATGCATTCAAATAGAAAGCAGCAAATATGCAACAAATTTTAGGTTGTTGAAAAAGATTAAATTTATGATTTTCTTGCCGGATTAAATACCAAGTTGATGTTAGGTATACATTATCAAAAGGAGAATCATAAAGTCATTGCCATCATTCAAATGGAGAAAAGGTTAAGGGAAGTTTCACTTATAATTAACGAAATAGAAAATTAGGCCCTAATGATCAAAGTTACTGAAATCAAGATTAAAAACTCTTTTCTTCAATGAAGCATAAGTAGCTGCACCAAACAAAGATGATCCATAGAGATTTTCTATGATGCATATTACAAGAAGGCTCAAGATACAAAAGAATAATGTATGAAACTTCATACAAATTCACCAAGAAAAAGTTAAACAATGCTAGGAGAACAAGCTAAAGAACAAAAACATGCATGTATAATATGTGGAAAAAGGTAACAACAAGTAATCAAACAATTAGTTCTATAAAGAGATTAATAACATGCACTACAAAAAAAGAGGTACTATGACAACACTTATTTAAAGCAGTAATAAAACCGCCACAAAAAAATTCCTTTAGAGCAGCCATAAAAACCGTCAAATATTAAATTAATATAAACCACCGCTTTTCCTAAATATTTAAACAGAAATACATTGGTTTTGTTGCTCCTCGACCGACAGAAGCCTCAGGTTCCGGCGGCGATTTTACAACAGCTGCAACAAGGCTTTGTGAAGATGAGTATCGGCGGCGGTTTTGTAGCAGTTTGTAAACCACTGCTAGAGTTTTAGAAGCAGCTAAAACCGCTGTTGTAGCTTATTTTTTGTCGCCAAAGCCTATTTTTTTTTGTAGTGATGCTGGTATAAATATAAAAGACTACCATGTCATGCACCTCCTATTATGCATTATCAAGTATTACCTTCACTTTTCATGCTTTTAAAATCTCATAGATGGCCAATCCCCATACCAGAATACTGAATCAAGAGCTACAAACCATATGACCAACACTTCACTTAAATTTATTTCATAAATTTCTTATTCTAAAAAAACAATTATATATATATTACCAATAGATCCTTGACATCTACTGATGGGCAAGAAAAATCTCATAAACAAATCCCACGCACTTAGAAATATCCTCCATATACTTAAATTATTCAACAACTCGTTATTAATTAACAATTAAAATTTTAATCACATTCAAAATGAAGTGATTTATTATACCCTCTACACTGTATATTTCAAGAACAAGGCACGATGATGAAGATTGGACTTAAAGAAAAAGGGTAATCACCTTGAAAAATCCAATGACCGCAGAAGATCCAAACTATTGGTGTTATTATATTTCCATTCTAAAATTTTTAAATCCAACAAAGAAAAGATATAGTGCCAATTCCTATAACTTATCCATCCTTCCTCTATTACTCTCAAAACCTTGTTTTCATTACTATTCAAAAATATTAATATTCTTGAATTTCACTATGAAACAAGTTATTTAGCAAAATACAAAATGTACCAATTTTTCAATAACAAAAAAACCAAAAATTATTTTTATTTTATTTATAGTGACAATTGAGAACCATAGTCTATACTTAACATGTATGAAGCTCAGTGGTTGTTGTCATGAATGGACTCTTATGTTATGGATCTTTATATTTTAAGCCAAAAAGTTGTATCACTTTCACCGCCATTTTTAACGTAACATTAAATCAAATTGACATTAAAATTAAAATTGTTGAATCCTAAAATGCCAAAAACACCATTTTACCTTTTTCATATTTTCAAGAATAATGAATAATACACAAGTTATCACGTATTTATGCAGCTCAAAGAAATGATGTAGTTGGCCACCGAGTTCACAAGAGTTATTATTTTTTTTTTTTTTCCAAAAGAATGATCCAAAATAATAATGTAGGGAAGCTATCTTAACTACTGCTCAAACCATAACTGATGACTTACGATATTCCTGCGATTCAAAAGTTGTGTTAGAGTCCTAGCCAATTTATTTTCTCACTTCAATGCTCAGATAATCTTGATCCCGACATATTTAGAAGTATTTTCTTTGTCCTTAAATAACATCCAAAAAGAGGAAAATTTTGATCCAAAAGCAATTAAATTAGTTTTCGTTGCGTATTCTTATGCTCACAAAGGTTATAAATGCTACCATCTCCCCATGTAGATATAGGCATTTGTTAACAGCACTAAGAAGGAAGAGGATTTCTGATTTGCTACTACTTTTCCCAAGCAAAAAATTAGCATTAACAAATAAATGCTTTCTCATATTGTCCTTTCTTACCACTCACACCAAAAAAACAACTATACATCCGAGCTAACCACTCTTACCCAAATCAAACATATATCCACCCCACCTTCCTCTCTACCACTAAAGATTTACTCAATGAGAAAGGCATATCAATCACTGTAGGTCCAACAATTCAAATCAATTTTTTGCATCAAACTAGAAAACGATTGAATCTGTCAACAAAATTGCTTCAATTGAAAATAACTTAGCTTATTCTTATCATGCAAAAAAATTCTTTATTGCTGTCATTCCTTCCTCATTAGCCAACAGAATATTTATTTCCCTAAAGCTGTCATTGAGGCTTTAAGTAGTGAGACTTGGAATAATGCTATGACAGAACAAATAGAAGCCCTTCAAAAAGCAAAACATATGAATGGGTGACATTACTAAAATAAAAAAATTGATAGGGTGCAGATAGGTATTTATTGTGAAGCATAAATCCAATAGCTACTCATAAAGAGATAAAGTCGGAATAATAGCAAAAGGCTACACTAAAACACAGAAGATTGAGTGTCCTGAAATTTTTGCTCGTGCTCCTAAAATGAGCAGCATTTTAAGTTATGTTATCTTTAGTAGCAAAGAAAGATTAAAAAATATAATAATTTGATATAAATATTACACAAATATTGGAATGAAATACTAACCATTCTCTACAATACTTTTAAGATATGAAGGCATGCAAATTTAGCATGAAATTAAGGTACATACTAAGAATGAAATATCTCATTGTCAAGTTGAAAAAAATGTCCAAATACAAAACTATAGTTGGCAATTGATGATATTTTTGTTAGCCCCATAAGCCAAATGACGTGACATTTTAGATTTTGATGATAAAATACATATGTGTACATGATACTAATTGTTACACTATAGGTATTTCAGACAGAACATTAAACTCAGCTCAATCAACTAGTTTAGTGAACTTTATCAAAATTGATTGATATTTTGGTGTGATGTATTAACATTTGTATGAATTGACAAATAAGATTGCTCAAAAATTATTTCATATTTTTTCATATTTTATTTGTCTTATTTGAATAAAATCAATTTTAGTTCACTTAATTAAATCATTCTATCAATAATTACTTCTGGATAATTATTTTGCACTTGCATTAATTCATGCATTATATATATACAAGATAAGTTATTTTTATTAATTAGTTGCATTCATGATACATTATCCTCATCATATTAATTAATCTATTATTTAATTACAAAATCATCAAATCATATGAATTATTCTTTGGGAATATTTTTTAATTTGAACTTTCTCTTTCCTGAATGATTCTAAAATCATTCCACTGATGCTTGGCTGAAAGCTACATCCCGTATTCACTTGATTTTATTTAAATTATTTAATTAATTCATGCAATGTGGACTTTCCCAATTATGCATATAATTCAAAATTCAACTTTGAATATTTTCCTCCAATATAAACTTCATGATAATTTGTCAAATCTCATAGATCTATTTTGAAAAGTATCAATTGCATTTCAAAATGTTTCCAAATATATATCCTTTTAATTTCAAATTCAAATTATTTTACATTTAAAATCCTTCACACTTAAAATCAATTATCTTTTCTTTAGGATTTCCCTCCTAAATTTAAATTCAAATATTAAATCTTTACATAAATCTATTTTCTAAGGCAAACATCCAATATTAGCATGTTGTGGTCAGCCCCATCTTTTGAGATTGGATTGTTTTAACAAATCAATTTAATTAATCCATTTTTTTTTTAAATTCAAATTAGTTCTATTTTAATTTCCCTCTCAAACTTAAACTTGAAATTCAAACAATTGCCTAAATAAAATCCCTCAAAATTTCAATTTCAATTTCTAACATAAGCCTAATTAATTTTCAAAAACCACCATATGGTTTTTATTCTTGGCTGACCTCCCCGCATGTCCAAGAGCTTTATGCTTGGTAAAATTCTCTGATGTGGGCAAGCATCTAATAATCCCATTATCCTATTTTCCTCTCACTTGACTAACTATTTTCTTGAGGAAAAACACAATTTCTCTTTTCTTTGCTGGCCCAAACAGCTCAAGCAAATTTTTTCTAAGGCGTCAAGACAAGCTCTCTTTATCTTTCTTGCAATCTCACCTTGACTTGGAAGAAAAAGAAAGGTGCATTATAGTTTAGGTCTTGGAAGCATGAATTCAATTTTTTAAGGAACATCTTTCCAATTCTAAAACACCAGCATAATACTAAGTTAAGTGTTGCAGAGATGAGAATGATTACGTGGATGAGTGGCTTTACACTGAGACAAAATGCGAAAATGCGAAATGAATATATGTGTGATAGGGTTGGTGTAGCTCCTGTGACGGACAAAATTAATGAAAGCCATCTTAGATAGTTTGGTCACATTAACCGTCGATCATCTGATGGTCCGATTAGGAGAGTAGATGTTTTAGATTCGACTTATGTTAATAAAGGCATAGATAGACCTAGGAAGACTTGGGCTTATTTTATAAAAAAATGATCTTAATTTGTTAAAACTAAATGAAATATGACACTAAATAGGACGCAATGGAGAAAAAGGATTCATGTAGCCGACCCCACTTAGTGGGATTAAGGCTTTGTTGTTGTTGTTGTTGTTATATCTTTTCCAATTTTCTTCTTACGTCTTTGTAAAACTTTTGATCTTGATGCGATCTAGGACTTTGATTTGATTTTATTTAAATGACCCATCATCATTTGCTCATGAATTTATGCATTGCATTTGATATTATTTTTACATAAAGGTTGTATAATTTTTCATAAATCATATTTAAAATGTTTCAAGTTCAATAACAGATCATTATTAGTCTTTTCATACATGTGCATGCTGTAAGCTTTGTGCTCGATAAACAAGTCTCTGATATGGGCAAACATCTATTTAAGAGAGTAAAGAATTTTAATAATTAAAACTCAATGACTTTAGTTAAGGTTGAATGATCAAAAACATAAAGCATATAATCTAATAGATCATTTCAAAATGAAAAGATAAGTCATGTTCTTCTCATTCCTTTGGTATGTCTGTCTTCTCTAGTTATACATTTAGTGGATTTATTTCACTTGTTTTACACTTTTGCATCCTATTTAAGAGCTTCAGGATATAACCCCACTGTTCAAATGCCAATATAGTAAATATTAGACCACTAAAAGAGAATTTTTAAAGCCATCAAAAGAATAGTACTTTAAACAGAAAAAGATGTAACAGTTAACACATAATCATGTAAATAGTACCAACAATATTCCGACAATGATTAATAACTAACATCAAAGTCATGACTTATAAGATAGAAGATGGAGGTGGTAATTTCATGAATTTGGTATATGTGGGCATCATACAATATTCAAATAATAGGATTAAAAAAATTTCTTTTGTCGCATTATGACCTCATTTGGAGCGGATTATTTGTCGAAGCGCGGATTCGGAACGTTGGGTCTGTCATTTGGAAAATACTGCGAGCCTGATTAATAATGAGGAAACGTCGTCGGGGGTTCGACCCCGCGGCCCGCGTTCCTTCGTTATGTTGTGACGGGGCTACCATCTCGTTACTCCGCTGCATCTTTCTCTCTCGCGGGTCTTACCCTAACATACCTCTCTCTCACGATACTCACGGGGCTGCTTCTCTCACAATTCTTGCCCTAACTCCTCTCTCTTTCTCTCTCGCAATTCTTACGAATACGATGCTGCCTCTTTCTCTCTCGCTTCTCTGGATTCACTGTTGCGGTGAGTTCTCCTCTCCCTCTCCTCTCTCTACTCTTCGGCTCTGTTTGGTCATTTGATCTGCCCTCTGTGCGGTAGTTCCTCTTTGTGCGGTGCTTTTTGATCATTCACTCCATTTCTGTTTTCGTATTCTCTACCTTACCATAAATGTTGTGGTTTTTTATTTTGCAAATGCTTATGTGCCCGAGACTTCCGTGGGTTCTCTGCGTTCTTATCCTTCGATGGTTCTCGGTTGATGTTAGATTTTGGGATTTTTGAGAATTCCATGTGCAATGACTTGGAAATATGTGATGCTTTTCGTTTGATGTTGGATTTCGATTTTCTGTTTGCTCTTTTATGTTCTTGATGTTGGCCGAAAATATGTTGTGGTGTTGATTGCACGTACAATGGCCTAGAAATAGGGGGTGCTTTTCGGTTAATGTTAGATTATGGTTTTTTGTTTCCTCTATTATGTTCTTGTTGTGGGCCAAATATATGCAGTGGTGTTGATTGCACGTGTAGTGACTTTATATTATATATATGATTACTTGGACGGTAAATGAGTCATATGTTGGCGTGTGGAGGTGGTGGCAGTGTTGTTGATGTGTTAGCGTGTTGCATTGTTTGTTTGTGGAGGGGGTAGTAGTGGTGTTGTGTGTGGAGGTGTTGGTGGTGTTGTGGATGTGTTAGTGTGGAGGGGTTAGTGTATGGATGTGTTTGTGTTGGTGGATGTGTTTGTGTTGGTGTGGAGGTGGTGGTGGTGTAGGATGGTTGGTGTGCTACTCACTATTTAGTAAGGTGTCTATTTTTATTTTACAATGTTTTTGCACTTGATATTTATTTTCAAGCATGAAATGTGCTGGTATGAAGTGCAGGGGCAGAATGCTCATTTGTCTAAAAATAGCTGAAGCACAGCTGTTTTGAAGCTGCAAAAAACAAACGGATAGCCAGCTTATCTAAAATAGTTTCCTGTCACAGCTGTTGTGCAATAGCTTATTAATAAGCTATAGCTGCCCCACACAGAGACAGAAGCTTAATAATATAAAAGTCAAAATTTAGTTTTCATTTGGTTTAACTATTGTTGCTTGAAATGTCAAGCCAAAATCCATTGATAGAAATGTGCGTCGAAAAGTCGTTTGCAAACTGCCAATGTATTTAGTAAACATGTAGTTAAATAGTTTTTTACTCGGAATTAATTAGATTTATTTAGTTTTCACATTTTATATGTTATGAAATATCAACAAATTGACCATAGTTCATTGCAAATTAGTTCACCTGATAATAATTGTATAATAGTATTAAGTTTTACAATACTTTTGCTAAATTTCATAAATATATACATTACAAAAAATAAAGAGAAGCATAAAAGATTAAAGATAAAAGTAGCCTAGTAAAAGGTAGGAAAAAAAAATCAAATTCTTGCTTCTATACCATCATGGAGATTTTATTATAGTTAGAATAATCCTGAAAGACAACATCATTTCAACATCCCCTGGCTCCCGCACTACTACCTAGCTTCCCGTACCTTCACTAGCATGTGATCTCGCCTCCACGATTATTCACTCCTAAAGTTTGCCTCTTTCTGACCCATCAACCCACACAAATCCCAACAATCAGTGATCCTGTTGTACTTGTTGCTCCCTAACTAAAGGTGTTGCTTGATGCAATCCATAGGAGCGGAAAGGTTATCACTTGTGATGAAGGCAAAAACAACGATGATAGAATCGTTGCTAGAGTTATTGTGGTGCTCTCCTAAAGGAGGTTCTTGGAGACATTAAAAACAATAAAGTAGGCAATGTGGATAAGGTCTGCACCAAGGCCAATGACAGCATTTTTGTAGTATACACTAACGATGTTGTCAACATGGAGTGGGTGCGGTATAGGCTATAAGGCTAGTGGCAAATAAGAGACACTATATGTGCATAGGCATTGAGAATGTCGTGATGGGGGCTCAACCAAGCCAATGAAACAAAACAAATAATTGCAGGGCTCAACTAACAAAGTTGAAAGAAAATATTTTTCATGCCTGCTTCCACTGTTGAATGCAAATTTTTATTAACACAATCCATACGTGCCATCGCATCATCGCTAAACCAAAAAAATACTTTCTTCAAAAGAAAATTTGAGAAAACACAAAACATAAATGAAGCTTCAAATAAGGCACCTACATTGTGTGAGTATGTTTGTGTGGTGGGTGGTGGAATGAGCATGTGTGTGCCTGGATGGAGTATTGGGCGGGGGTTGGGTGTGGGGATTTAGCTATTTGTAGATTACATCTTATCTTGAAAATAAAGACGTGAAATAAAACTAAGCTTGCTTCCATGTCTAATAAAACAAGATTGTGATGACACGAACCCAATATAAGAATCAAAAGCAATTGGTCAAGAACTAGATGAAAATATCATTAGATCGATTTCTACTGTAAGTATCATAATGTGGATTTATAAAGTTTTCATGAGATATTTTTGAAATGTGTAAAATAAAAAACCTCATTTTATAAACATTACTGAAGTCGGTAGAGCGGAATTTGCATAAAGATGCACCTAATTTTCAAAAATTAGTTAGGCTTTGTTTACAAGGATGTTGAAGATGCAACTTTCCGAATATTACTAAGATCATTTTTCCAAAAACTAGTCTCCTGAAAACCCAAAATAAGGATATGTCACATACTTCCTTGTCTGCATAATCAAAATCAATTGATATCAAATAAATGGAATTACATTTTATGTGCTTATACAAATGTGACATACAGCTATAAAATAAAAAGGAAAGAAATCGAATTGAGTATAGAGCAGAAGCACCTCTCTTTGTTCCTCTGACATGAATGACCCTGTAAGATCTCGAAGAACTTCCAACAAGTCCTTGAAAGTTACTCTGCCCTTACTATCTATATCATAAACTCTAAAGATCACTGCAATATGAAATCCCCTAATCAACAACTCAATCAAAATAATCACCCTCAAACCCAGCAATTAAATCATTCTCATAGATCAAAAACAAATAAAATACAAACACACACGCACACAAAGCGCAAAAGAGTAGACTTTTACACTCAATTTTCTGCTGGAGGGAGGCCTTCGGGCTGAAGGCAGACAAGAATGCCACAAAATCCTTAAAATTCAATCCATCTACCATCCTCAGCAACCTCTGCAAGGAACGCGAGGACAAAATTTTTCAATTAAAAATAAGAACTTAAACATATCAAAGCATGGCTTATGCTCAAATCAAAATGGGTCCCTGACCTGAGAGAGAGGATTGAGGGAGAACTCAGGTATCGATAAGAACTCATCCGCCGAGATGAACCCTTTGGCATTCCGATCAAGTTGGCAGAATCTCTCGTACAGGGCTAATATCTCTTGCTGGGAAACTGTCGCAAAAACCCAATCAATTGACTTCAGCGAATTTAACGGAGAGACATGAGCGAGGTTCAGAAAAGCGCAGATAGGAAAGAAGAGAGAGCTCACAGAGATAGCTGCAGTGCTCCTGGACTTCCTCTATGTCGTATTGGGTGAGCATCGAAGAGGCGATGCCCATCCTCCCTCTGTCTCAACGAAATGGCAGGGAGAAAGGGGAAATGAGGTTTGTTTATAAGGAGATGGTTTTTCCATGGCAATCACCTAAAAACGTTCAATATAATATTTTAATTAATTAAATTTTAAATATAACATTTTAATCATCTAAAATCTTAAATATAATATTTTAAATACCCAAAACTTTCACTCAAATAATTCAATGGTGGTTAAAGGAGGATGGTTGTAATGAAAAGGCTGGTTAAAGTGCAATATTTAAAGTTTGCGTAGTTAAAATGATATATTGAATGTTTTGTGTGATTAGTATGTAAAAATTCACTATAATCAATATTTATAAAAGGATTACGTGATGGTTTTCAATTTCTCCAAAAGCCTCTTCTTGGACAAGTATATTGATATTTCTTTGATTTTTGGTTGATTTGTTTCTTTGATATTGTACAGACTGATTGCAGATAAAATCTAATTAGTTATTGATTTGAGTTGTTTTATTCTTATATACTTTACAATTAATATCCTTATGTATAATATCTATGTCTAAAAATGTTATAGATATATATCTTTGTAATGAAACATAGAGATGCATTTCTTGGCTCCTCCTGAAATGCATCATTACATTTTATCTTCTATTTGAGTTAGTTATAACCTATTCAAATCAAATAGTAATCTTATTTATCTTTATCTTTGTAATATTTTTGCTTTCATATGTGAATAGAGCGATAATATATATATGTTATTTGGTGAAGAATGAAAAGTAGATAACAAATTTTATTGTGTGCATGGTGGGAACATGAGTAAATAGTTATAAATTTGAATAAGTATTACTTTTGAAAAGCTGAAAAATATAGAAATGAATAAGAACTAATTTATTATAAAGATGCAGTTGGTGCATCATTTCAATGGAGTGTAATATATCATATCAATTCATTTAACAAGAATAATAACAAAGCACAACCTTGCATTTCTCATTAATGATATTTCTATTTCCTTCGATGGCGCCATTCTCTTATTTGCTCAACTATTTTCACAATAAAAGATTTTTTTAGCCAATTATTGCTATGGCTAATGTATTCTTATACAGGGAGAGCAAATAGTAGCAAATGAAATGATGCCTGGTCAGCCAATCCAATTACTACTAATGATACTACATAAGTTAATTTATGAGCAAATGAAGGTGGCTTAACTCATACATGATGAAGAAAATAATAGTTTTATGAATGCTTCACTAAAGAGTTTAGTAATAAACATATTATGTGATGTAGTTGAATTGATAAAAGAGTAAGTCTAATAATTGCTTATGTATCCTAAGGTTAAAAGCTACATTCTATAAGTCGGAGAACAAAAAAAGTAATTCTTATCTCATTATGATCATTAGCTTAAAGTGCCTCTAATTTAATGATTATAATAATCTCATGTTTAAGTTTTTTTTTTTCAATGTATATATAGTTGGTTAAATACTTGAGAGCAAAGATGATATGAAGAGTATGTTACAATGATATATAAGGAAGATAATTTGTGAATTCAAATTAAATAAGTTAGAGATAGAAATTTGGTGAATTCATCACAATTTGGAATAATATTCATCAAACTTATGACTTAAGAAGTTGGTATAATCAAACATGTTGAAGAGTTGGAGCAATGTAGAAGTGCACGTCTTTTATTACATTGGTTTGTTAATTCTAAGAAGCCCTACAAAGCTTCAAACTCCATAGTTCTATTAAATCCAACTTGTATATGAAGTTTTATCTATACTTGACATGATTCAAATAAGATCTGAGCTCAAACTGAATTAGGTTTGAGCGAACTTTGAAACTAATTTATGTTGAATAACTTTTAAAGTTCTATGTTCAAAACAAGTTTGAATCATATTTAAGAGAATAAAAATGGTTGAACTATGTTAAAATCCTGTTCAAATATTATTTGAACCTTATTTATACACTATTATCTAGTAAGCTTATTAGAAAGCTCTCAAAAAAAAAAAATTATAAATTCATACTTAGACATAGTTTCAATCCATAACACACTCTAACATATATTCAAGCTAGTTCATGTAGTCTCTTTACTTTTTTTTCTTCAGAACTTCAAATTGGTATTTTTTAGTTTCATGGTTGTTTTGCTTCTTTGATATTTTACATACATATAAAATCTAGTTAGTTTTTGGCTTGTGCTTTTTTATTATTAGATACTTTACAATTAATATATTTATGTATTATATTTATGTATTATATTTATGAAAATTTTTGATTTGATTGTCATCAAAGATTCTTAGCATGTGATGACCCATTTCGGAGGAATAAAGATGCATTTTTCAGAAAGAGAGTTGAAGATCAAGTCCACCCCTAAAGGTAAGTGATAGTGATATATTGCAGATGATCATTGAAGTGTCAAAGATCATCGAGAGACTGGAACTAGTCTCGAGTCATCTTCTAGAGTTTGGTTTTACACATAACTTGATGAAGCAGAGCATTTTTTGGAATCTTTCATATTAGAGGCCCAATCTTATTGGACATAATCTTATTGGACATATTGAGGAGAATTTTTTTGATAATATATTTAATAGTATACTGAATATTAATGGAAAAACAAGACAACATCAAAGCAAGATTGGATTTGAGGGAGTATTGCAAGAGGAGAGGGTTAGAAGTGCACGAGACAAATGAAGTTAAAATGGCAAAGCCCAAAGCTATATATTGTCTCACATTGCATCAATGAAAAACTAAATTTGAGTGGTTGCATTCTCTGAAGTTTTCAATTGGTTGTATTTCTAACATAAGTCGTTGTGTTGATATGAGAATGGAGAAAATATTTGGTATGAAGAGCCATGATTAACATATTTTCATGCAGTGCTTATTACTTATTGCATGTAATGTTCCGTCAAATCCGATACTTGATCCATCATTGATCGAAATCATGACATTCTTCAGGGAGTTGTGCGTAGGAACTTTGAATGTTAATTCTTTGAAAAGTCTTGATGTGAGTATTTTGTTAATTCTTTGCAAGCTTGAATGGATATCTCCTCCTAATTTGTTTGACTCAATGAAACATCTGCCTATACGTATGCCTTATGAGGCTATATTGGGGGGTCCAGTGCATTACAGGTGGATCTATCCCTTTAAGAGGTATGTCTCTTATTTTAGAGTGAACTAATATCTTTTTTTAAATCATTCAACTGTGCAGATTTCTGAATAACATAAAAAATATTGTTAAGAATAAAGCACACCTAGAGGGATCGATATGCAAGGCATATTTATTATAGGAGAAAATTAATTTTTGTTCTTATTACTTCAATCAAATGAAACATACACATTAAGGTGTCGTTGAGATGCCTTTGCAACAAGAATTATCCATATTTCATATATAAGTTGAACCATTAGGTAGGCATGGTACGCACTACCTCAACGATAGAGAACTTCGAGCAGATACATTGTATGTTCAATTGAATTGCGATGAAGTGTAACCATTCATGCATTAAGATTTAACTTAATAAAAAAATTTTCTTAGTTATTATCTATAGTGCTCTAACAATTAACTTAGGCATACAATTCACAAGGATATTCTCAGGTTTTTTACTGAGAGCTTGAACAAAGGGAATGACTCGCAAAAAGTCGAAAGAAGAATTTCCAAAATGGTTCAAATCACATGTACATTGAAGTAACTTTTCAATTCATCAATGTGTCATCTAATTGCACTCTATAAAAAAAAACTAGTATGCTTTGGAATTTCTACTAGGTTCATGATAGAAGTATCGAAATCATAGACCAAGACTTGTTAGATCTTGCTTGGGATCTAATTATAGTGTTCAGACATGACAAATATTTGAAGTAAATGATTACAAATTTCACACTAGCTCGTGGTGTGAAAGAAAGTACACTTATAATTATGGTGCTTGTGTTAGAGGAAACATACACATAAATAACAGGATTAGCTATGACGACATACTAAATGAAGTAATCCAATTGCAATATTTGGGCTATGTTGAACGAAATGTCAACATGTTCAGCTATATGTGATTTGATCTTATTCTTAATCAAGGAACACAGACACTCGACCTGTAAGATATTCTGAAGTTAAAATGAACAGAAGATATGTAAAATATGACTTTTCTGGTACGTCAAGCTAGTAAAGTTTGTTATTTTTGATATCCTAATCAAGCAAAGGATAAACGTGATTGTGCTATTGTATTGAAGAATATACCACGAAAAATACTGAGATGGCAAGTGTTATTGAACATTGTCGGGTTTTATTTCGCTCCATTAACAACTTGGATAAATCATTTATAACGTCTTCATTGGATATTGACCTCTCATGAGCTTACAGCTTTGTGTGTGTGTGTGTGTGTGATATGAGTTGTGTTGTGCATGGAAAGCTCTGTCATGACAACACAAATTAATAAGCTTAACATTCAATGATGTCATTTGCATATTTAAAACTAATACTTTACTTTTGACATTTGTATACAACTCAACGGTTTACATAGAAATCATTCACCTTCATAAAGAATGCGGTGATCGTTGACTCTCAAATATACTCCACAAAATGTGTAGATCGGACATGATGAGAGCAGCAATCGAAGAGTGCGACATTGCGTGATCATTTTGGAGTGCGTTGAGCATGCTTGAAATTGATCTCAAATAATGTCCACTTGCAAAACGAACCCTTAGTTGCATTCAAAATATTAAAATTGACTAAGAGGAGTCTTTTATGATTTAAAAGAACAAACATGACAAAATCGAGAGGCAGCGAAAGCAACGTGACAATTTGAGTCTAAATCGCTTTGTTCGTTGCTGAAATCGCCAAAATGATCTCTTATTGCAAACAGACTGTGCGAGCACGACTGAAACATCAAACTCAACTAAAAATGACACCCATATTGTTGGAATTTTATAGAAGAATTTGTAACATGCAAATTGAGATTTAAATTAAAAATAAAATAATAAATTCATATATGAGCATAAACTGTCAAACACTTCTCAATACCCATGCTCAGCCGCCCACTCCAGCCAATCAAGATGCTCCACCTCATTTGCAAATAATAAAAAAACTTACATAAAAAAAAGAG